GGTTTGCTGTTCTTCGGCCTCAAGGAGTCAATGTAAACCACTCATAGTTTGGTCCACACCTTTAATCCCAGAACTCTAGGCAACAGAGGCAGGGGGATCAATCGCAAATTGGAACCCAAATGGGGCAATTTAGCAACTAAGAGACCTTGTCTGAAAAAGTAAAAAAGGAATTGAGTACGTAGCTTGGTATGAAGGCCCTCATTTCAATCACCAGTACCACCAAAAAAAAAAAAAAAAGTAAAAATAAATATTGGAGTTCCTTGAAACTACAATTTTTCTCCTCCATTGTCAACACTCATTCTTAGCAGCTCTCCCCAGCTCAGAGAGATTATTAAATTGAGTTTGAAAAATATCTCCAGTTGCTTTTTAAGGATTTTCCATGTGGCATTTTCCCCAGGGCAGGGAGGGAGGCTGGTCAAAGGAGATCCTGTAAGAGTTTAGCCCGTTTCCTTCACAGCGAGGCCCTCCAGGATTTGGCTTCCCAGGCCTGGCAGGAAATGCCACAGGGTGGGGGATGGGTAAGAGCTTAGAAGTTTTACAGAGGAAAAAGCAGGGGTGAAATTATTCCAGACAGGTTTTGTGGGATTCAGTCGGGATGGTTTCGCAACGGGGATCATAAAACACAAATACACAGAATCTAAAAATGCCTGGGAATTTTATTTCCTGTAACTACAAAAACAAAACAAATCTACCTCTCAGCGGCCGGCCCTCTTGTCTTGAGCAGTCAATGGATGGGTGAGAACCTGGAACGGGCAGTTCCTTAAGTCGCTTTTCCAGTGAGCCCTGGCCTTGCCACTGCTCTGCCAGTGAAGAGCGCCCACAGCCCTACTCTGTCCCTCTCTTCCAAGCAGCAGCTGATGACGCAAGGGTAAGAATGTCTTTCCTTATTTTCCAAATACCCTCCCTTTCTTCTACCCCTTCGTTTCACTTACTTCAAAGAAGTCAGTCACCAATGGTGAGTGCCATCTGCCTACCATCAAGGGTCGAGGCCTACCGGTACCTTAGCTTGGTTCAGGTCACTAGCATCCTAAAAGGCACACAGCAGAGTAGGATCTCAGGTCAAACACATGGCTTGAATCTGATTGAAATTACAGTTTCTGGTTCAGTTCATTGGCTTGTTGGCCCCATCTCACTGTCCCTGGAGAGCGGGAGCCACATCATTTGCTTTTGATCGCCACAAGGCCCCTGCACAATGACTAGAGCACCTGACCCAAGGGCAGGCCGGCTTAGAACAGGGAAGCCCAGAGGAATCACAGTGGCTCGTTCATTCAGTGGGCGCCGGTGACCAGACTTGAGCTCAGCACATCTGGCATCACGCTTCACGCCAATGGTTCTGCAAAATGCACCTGCCTGGCTGCCCCTCGCTGGGATACAGGCCCCTCACTGTGGTCCTTCCAAGTCTCACCAGGCGACCTTTTTGTAGCACTCAGCCTAAAGCTCTGCATGATCCATCTGGAAGTTGTCAAAGTGACATTTCCAGAAGAGCTATTTTCCCCTACATGCAGATCACTAAGGGTCATCTAAAAATAATTAAACCTGACTTAACAATCTCAATGCTTTGTGCATTCTAATTAAATAAGAATGAAAGAAATCTTAATAGGATTGCAAGTCAGGTCTTTGTGTTCCTGATTCATGCACTGGTCTTAGTTAAAATAAGTTCATAGTGGCTGAGGAACTGTATTTTCTTTTTGGGAAAAAGTGAAACTCAAGACTGAGGCTCCACTTCCCATTTCAAAGCCTTTCCAAATCTTCCCCATCTCTCAAAGTCTGGCTTGAGTACCTTTTCTCCACTGAGAGCCCAAACAGCACCGATTCCCGAGTCTTCTTGGTTTGAGGATCCCGCGCAGAGCATGACTAGCCAGTGCCATGTGCTGGGAAAGTTAGCGGGGCAGAGCCGCCCAACCCCCACTGAGCAACCTTCCACTCGCGAATCGATTTTCTCATTGCTGGTAACTCCTTGCCCAGCACCTGCCTTGGTCAAATGACCAACAGTTATTCTTTAAAACCATGACTACTGGTTATCATAGGAAAAGTCATTTTTTAACAAGTTAAATTCAGGATTTATAAGTTGATGATTCTTAGGGTTCCTTCGGTCAGTAAGTCAAGGTCCTTCCTTGAGGCCACTGTGATTCATTTTAGAAAACGTAGGCTCACATATGGAAAGCAAGGTGTTTTCCTAAGTAGGGGTAGCCTGGGATGGGTGGCACACACTTGCTCTTCCACCTGTGGACTCCTGACAGTGGCCTGAGGAACACATCAGCAACTCTCTGCACAGCAAAGGGAGTTTCTTCTCCTCCCACCCTTAGGTTCTAGTCACCTGAAGCCCCCAAATCCACATAAGCTTGAAGATACTCTGCCCTAAGGGAAAGCCATGATGTCATTCAATACCATCTTTTTGTTTCAAAAGATGCCGCTCAATGAAGGGCCCTACATCTTGATATTTCTACAATGTATAAAGGAAGCTTTCCTGGCACTGAAGACCTCCATTCCCCTCTCACTCATTCACCAAGATGACTTCCGACCGTGGGCTCCCCAAATTCACCACACACAGGGACTCCACACAGTGCCCACCACTGGACTGGACGCCAGTGTGGCTCTCTGTCTGGGCATGCCTCCCACCACCCCCCAGCAGGAGATGTGTCACAGGGGCAGGGAAGTGGCTAAATCCCCACAGCAGAGTGACAAAGCAGTATGACATCAGAGGTCCACTGAAGTGGGGGATCCCAGAGGTCAAACGAAAGAGCAGTGGCCTGACTCTGCCACTAGCCAAGTGTCTGTAGGCAAAAGATTTTAACTTCTCTGAAAACCAGCTTTCTCACTGGTACATAAAGGACAATAAAAGAGATAGTTAAAAAAAAAAAAGAAAACTTCAGCTAAACATTGTGGAACATGTCTGTATAACCTCAACATTCTGGGAGGCTGAGGCAAGAGGATCACAAATCAAGCCTAGTCTGAACAACACAGTAAAACCCTGTCTCAAAATAAAAATAAAGGCGTGGTGATGTAGCTCAGTGCAGTCCCTGACACTAAACCAAAACACATCATCCAACCCTCTACTTCTGACAGTGATCATTTACCAGTATGAGGTCCTATAATAAGGTACCACAGAAGATAAAGATATATAGGATAGGATCCATTTCTCATTAATCTAGAATTATTGCTTTAGTGGAGAAAAGAAGAAAGTTGACCCCACTGCTGAGCCTCTGCTATCATATTTGCTACGGTTTGTGTCTAGATGCCCCCCCAAAGCCTCGGGGTCATGGGGCAGTCACGGGGTGGGCTTTTAGAGCTTGTGACTGATCTATGGTCTAGTGCTTGGATGAAGGGTTTGAGTGCTACACTCACCTTAGGGCAGGCAGCCTGTATACAAATAAGGGACAGAAAGAATCCTGTCTAGTGCTCCCAGCTCTTGTTGCCTTCGTGTCTTCCATCGCCAAGAGCTGTGCCAAGGAAACCCTGCCTTGGAGCCGGCTGGTTACAGACTAAAACTGTGAGCTAAATAAATCTTTCCTTCCTTAATTTTGGGTGTTGGGTATTTTGTTTCAGTAACGAGAGATAAGTGATCAAGACAACATTGGACCCTATATCTATATACACACATAACTCATATGAACCTATACATACTTGCTATTATAACATGCATCAAACACAGGCTGGTCAGCAAGACCAGTTCAGAAAGCACCTGATTCTTCTTCCTAAGTTTCCTGAGGAAAGATGCAAGTATCCCTGAAAGATACGCAGAATGACTTAGAGAGTTCTCGGAAGAGACATATTTGCCTCAGAGATTGGAAGAATAAGAAAAATCCCATTTGATCTGTGTTACTCAACCTGGAACAGGTGCTGTGTGTGGTGGTGGGGTGTGGGGTCAATTAAATTGGAGAGTAATAGATTAAACGAAGGTAATCATTTTCATTTTCACTACAGATTTTCCCCAGGGACTTCGATAAACACATGCACACCGAAACGCTCCAGGAGAAGTCAAGGTTGCAGGGTCCCAGGCTATGGCCCTGCAGTTCATCTGCAGTGTCTCCAGGACCATATTATTGTTTTTAAGAAACTGTGATGTCCCAGGTCTTGCTCATTTCAGCTTCTCCTGCCCCGTCACAGCACTAGGCACATGGGAGAGAAGTAATAAAACAGGTAAAACCTTCGCTGAACGTGCAAATGTATGATTGTTAAATTCTAAATGGAAAGATCAGTATTTGTATTAAAATGGTGGTGAGAGTTTGTGGAAGGGCCAGAGATCACCACTCACACTGTCGTGAGTAAGCTTGTCACTGCTACCTAAAGAAGCCCAATACTACAAATCCATGGCACATCCAGAAGACTCTAAGTTCCCATCTCCAGCACATAAAAAGGATAATAAAAGAAGAGCTCAGTGAGGAGCATGTGTATTTCTTTTTCTTTTAATAAGAATAAGTAATAAATCAGAGGTAAGACTCTGTAATGTCATCAGACTATTTTCATTTCTTTACTGCCACCTTCTGGTCCCCAGAAAACCACATGGCAACTTTGAAACTGCCACCTTGTTTGTATTTCACAGTGGAATGTTAAACACGCGCTTATATCCTTTGCCTCGGATGACATTACATACATCAGAAGCTATTATAGTGTCCTTTATCTTTTTCGTTTGACCTGAAAACAACCTAGAAGTCAGGTGATCTCACTAGAGACAGAAAGGCCGGAGCACAGCAAGGACCAGCCATGCCTGCCGGGTCTTCCAACGCGCAACACTGAGGTTAGCCATCCGGCTTGGTCCGGCCATGTGTACTCCTTTATCCCTCTTGAAGCACAGCCCTGCATGGAAAATCCCAAGACCTTCACAGAGAAGGTGTCCAAACATACCCTGATCTCTCCAAGGGTAAAATCCACTTCACTTTCCAGTCTTTGAGAGACCAACGTGGAGGGTCTGACACTGCAATTTTATGCGACAGCCAAGGACCGTGAGGTCCTGCTATGCTCCCCAAGACAGAGGCCAGGCAGCTTCTCTGCAAACATACCTTGGTCTGGAAGCAGCAGTAGAGTTGGGTTAGGTACGGGTGTTTCCGTGCCAGAGCCAGAATCCTCTTCTCTGTCATCGTGCAGTCCACGTCATCATCTTGAAGGATGACATCCTTCTTTAGGACTTTGACAGCATACACCTCATCTTTGCCCTTGAGTTCTGCCAGCATGACCTGCAATTAACCAACATTGTTCCCATCATCTGCATGCGTTGGGACTCCAAGGAGGAAACACAGGAGCAAACGCCGTGAAAGTTAACCTGATTCCTACCTAGCTCTAATTGTAAATATTATAACCACATTAAAAATGTTTAGGAAAATGACCCATCCTGATAGAATTGTTATTTGTGTATTCTTAATCTTTGGCACAGTGCTCTGGCAAAGAAAAAATTCAGTGTACCCCTGTTTGATGCTTATTCTTATGATCACATGCATTTATTAAACTTGCAACTACAGTGAAGTGAATTCAGACATGTACTTATTTTCCAATAACTGTATTTCTTTGGGGATATGTTATTTGTCTCATCTACTTTTTTTGCTGTCTTATATTATTTCTTAGAAATCTGTACATATGATCCTATTTAGAAACCCATAGGCTACTTCCTGTGAAAGTGGTTGTGGACTAGTATTAACTTGTTTTACCTTTTTATTATTATTTTTTCATCTTGAACAGAATCGTTTATCTTTATATACTTAAATCTGTCTGGTCTTCCTCTGTGGTTTCCTCTACAGCTGTACAGCTAGAAAGCTGACTCCTTCTCCAGAGAGCTAAGTAACAAGCCTACCATTTGATATTTCTTATCATCTCCTATCATTTGAAATCTTGTTCTCTCTTACCTACAAATGCCATAAGCCACTCCTTTTAATTAATTAGCTTCTAAGTATAGCACACCAATGGCAGTTGTTCAAGCTAAAGAGCAGCAACTCAGAAACTTTGTAAAGGAATTCATGATGTTAACCTGAAGACCTCTCATCACCAACACAACGTAGAGGTTCTACACTGGTTCAAACTTTGGGTACAAATTTCCCTACGAAACAACCTAAGTGATCCAGAGTCATCAGTCCATGCAGCCTCAGCGTACGGTAGCCTGGAACTCTTGAGTGTGCTCACTTGATTCATTTTTGAATCTTGCTCAAAATTCAACCACGCCCAACCCACAAGCCTAAGTGATGTGCATAAGCCAGAGGCCTGGGGTCTGTCTGTTATTTAGACAGGCTCCAAAGAATGTGATTGCTTCACCTGTTGACTCTTCAGTAAGCCTCAGCCACCATCCTTCCAGGTGATATCTGGATAAGATAGGACAGGGGAGATGGAGGCCAAGTGGGCCCAGGGCCCTGGGGCTTTCCCAGAGCTCTTCCCTCAGGAGAATGGAAGAATGGACCTGCAGCCAGCCAGCACACTACCCACACGACACGTGAGGCCACATGACCCCACAGCAGCCCTGATCCTCGGAGCAGGGCCTCTCTGATCTTCAGAATCCCAGAGAGCTGACCCTCTTCAATGCCCTGGCCTGGCTTTAAGCAGAGCAAGGGGCAATCAAAGAGTCCGAGCTGCACTGCCAATCAGCTTCCTCTGCTAACTGCACCTTCATCTTTCTGCCCTGAGCTCAGATATTTATCAGCATGGGGGCTGCCCAGCAAGCGCACGGAAAGGCCAGCCCATGCCTGCAGCAGGAAGCAAGGGTGGAGAAGGCCCCGGCCAGGGACCCTCAGCGAAGCCCAGATACAGTTAATGGACTCTTGCTACACACAGAGGATAAGTACAACGTTTAATAAGTGTCAGAAGAATCAGTGAAATAACATTTAACTTTAAAAGTACTACATGGTAAGATTCCCTCCAGATCCTAGCCTCACTGAGGACAGATTCTATAAAGTTTATGCTCAAAATTTTCATCATGAAATAACAGAATTTCAGACCAATCTTTGAAGGAGGGAGGAAAGGTCTTTGTACTGCTATTGACAGTGGTATGCTGAGTACGTTATTTTTTCATACTAAATATATTTTGTCCTAGTTTCCACTATGTATGTAAAATGTAGAGGGATAAATACCCTATTACATACAAGAAATGAGAACCATAGAGGAAGAGATGCCTCATGGAATAGATGTTAAAAAGGAATAAAAATATGTAAGAGAATCTTTTTCATCTATCTGATAGCTTTATAAAGCAACTGCGTCCTAAAGAAAAGACTGTTCCTTGAAGGGGTCTTGAATTCTTAGCTCTCACTCCCTTTTGCGTTGAAGAATGTGAATATACAGGGAGCAAAGCACCTATGTTTTGCTCTTCTCCACACAAGTCTTGGGTATACAGAGCAATATCTTTGTCTACTACTCCCTTAGAGAGAAATTTTCCATTGTGTATTTTGAACTATTTGAATCCACTTCTTTTTAAGTGTTAGGTTCTTCGTATGTATTTTCCAGGGTCTTGCCCTGTAGTTCAGGCTGGTTTTGAAATTACTACATATGGAACTCAGGCTGGCCTCGAACTTGAGGAGATCCTCCTGCCTCAGCCTCCCAAGTAATGGGATTACAGGCATGCACCACCATGCCCTGTTCATCCATCACAAGTTTCTTTAGCTTCTGGTCTGCATCTTATTTTCCAATGATTAGAAAATCCAAAGATATCATTGTGCATAACGGCATGTGGAGGGTCTCCCATCTTCAACTGGCCTTTGTACAGCCAGAGATAGCAGCGTGATGAAGGGCCTGCTACCCCCGGGTCACAGGGATTATCTCCGCTACAAGGTATGGCTTGTCTTTATTATCATGAATTGCAAGGGTGAACCTGTGGCTTGCATGTGCCCAATATCAGGCAGGATCGAACCCCAGAACAGCACCGTGGCGCCGCACGTGGGTCCCCAGCACACACGGAGGGCAGCGTGGTGGGCATCATGGTGGGCAATGGGGCTTGGGGAGGCCTAAGCGTGGAAGCGCTGAAGCGCATGTGCACACGTCCTGCGAGACCCAGCTCCCACCTGCAGCGCTCGGTGAAACGCTCACTGGCTGCACAAAGTCTGCAGAGTGTTTAAAAACCTTCCAAGTGTTCACTCACCTGCAAGGTATCTCACTCGACTGTGGCCCACTGGATGAAAGGGAAAAACTGATTTGAGAAGAGGCAACCTAGTTGGGCGTGGTAATCCCAGCTCTTGGAAGCTAAGGCAAAGTTTGGAAGCAAGCCCAGCCTGGGCAATTAAGTAGTTTAGCAAGACCCCATATTAGGTCAAAAAAACAACAACAAAAACCAGAAGGCTGGGATGTTGCTTAGTGTGAAGGCCACGCCCAACTAGCAATAGAAACAACTCCTACCTGCGTGGGCTAGGTCTGTTTCTTAGGGTTTGTGTCTACACGTCTCCCCAGAGCCTCATGTGGTCATGGGCTTTTTTTTTTTTTCCCAGAGGTGGCTAAACCTAGTAATTGATTCCTAGTGCAATACTAGGACTAAGAGTGCTGGGATTACAGGTGGGTAATTGCTGGATCCGTCCACTGTTCAGAGTGGCACAGCCTTAATCCAGCTGTGGGGGGAAAGGAACCCTTTTCCCACCAATATGGAAATCAGTGTGGAGATTCTTCAAAAGCTGAAACTAGAGGTTTCATTTGACCCAGTGATTCATTTTCTTGCTATCTCCCCAAAAGAGTTAAAAGCACTGCACTACAGCAATGGATGCACACCCCACGTTTATAGCAGCACAATTTGTAATAGCTAAATCTTGGAAACAAACCAAATGCCCATCAGCAGATGAAAAAAGAAAATGTAGGGATATGTATAGTTCTACTTTGCCAAAAAGGATACATTTGAGACATTTATAGGTAAATGGATGCACCTTGAGACCGTACTTCTAAGTGAAATAAATCAGACCCACGTGTTTTTATATCGCATTGTTTCGCTGTGTGAGAAGCCAAAGGAGTAAATAAGGACCAAAGTGGACGACAGACATTGGGAAGGAGGATGAAAATGCTCGAATAGGAAGGGGAGGGGGGGCAAGGAAGGGAAAAATAACAAAGAGCAAATAGAAGGCAAAAATGGAAAGAAACGTCTTGCAAATACAGAGGGGAGGAAGGTTGGATGGAGAGGAGGCGAATGAGGAGAAAAGATGACTCAGGGGCAACTTCCCTTCAGGGAATGTAGTTGTTACATATATCAAAAGCATACCAATAAAATTAACTTAAAAAACAAGGAAGGGAAAGACCAGGCTGAGATGTTCCTCAGTGGCCAAACAGAAGCAGCGACTCCTTGGGCTACAGAAGACAAGCAGGCCCCGCAGCTGCCACGCACCTTGCCGAAGCTGCCTTTGCCCAACACCTTGATGAAGTTGAACTCATCTAGGCCCAGGCGCTTGGCCTGGCCTTGCCGGACTTCACCATTCTCGCCAGGGCTGGCCAGGTGGCCGTCGGTGGACGAGGCACGGTGCTCTTCTCCTCGGTTGTCAAATGACAAGGCCTTCCGGATGTTGTTTTCAAGCTCTTTTAATTCTAGGGCCAACGGGTAACAGACACAGAACCGTGTTAGTGCTCATGCCGTGAACCTTCCTCCCACCCTGCATAGCAACCGACTCAAGGCGGCACCCCAGCCACCCAGGAGCGTGGGCTGTAGCACGGTGGGAAAGGCAAGAGTCCATGCCCGGAGGTGCTCCCTGGCAGCGAACCCCTTCGGACTGCACCAGCCCCCACCCCTGGGCAGCCCCTCCAGTCGGGTGCATAACTCGAGGTGCGGTGCAACAACCCAGCAGCTCGGGAACTCTGTGCAATCACAAAGCACCTGGCCTTCGAGTCCCCTTTGAAGAGCAGAATGGCAGCCAGCCAAGAAAAGCTGTCCCGGTCAAGGCGATGTCAATGTCTCACCAACGGATTCTGAGAGTCTCTACTTGACCTGAAGGTAGGCTTACATGAAATACTTATCTCAAACAGGCTATGGGACCAAACGGCAATGGGCTTTTCATGAATAAAAGAACTGTTTCCCACATGGGGTGACACTGACTTTTTCTATTTGAAGAAACTCTACAGGTGGCCATTCGTTTACCAACACATGTACTCAACTGTGTAGAAATAGGATTAAATAACTGATTGATTGATTGATCAATTTTGTACAGGGTCTTACTACGCAGCTCGGACTCCTAGTGATCCTCCTTATCTCAGCCTCCCCAGTGCTGGGATTGCAGGCATGTGCCACCACTCCTGGTTTAGGTGCTGGTACAGTGTACCCGGGGTTCTGTGGTTGGCACAGCATGCACTATCAGGGATTGAACTCGGGATCTTGAGCTTGCCAGGAGGCAATAGACTGCTAAGCTATTTCCCCAGCCTAGAAATAGGAATCTTGAGTATAAGCTGAGTCTCAAAGATACTCATAACTTGGATTACAGAGAGTATGAGAGACTACTTATCCCTGGAAATTTGAATTGGGTGTGAATGGCCCAATCTCTCGACAGAAAGATTTTAAGCTTCTTTTTCAACAACTGAGGTCTGTAGCAGCCCAGCCGAGGACTCTGGAGAGCTTTTCAGGTATGGAGTGAGCTCCTCTGGGGGTGGGTCAGGGCAGTGGTGTTGGCGGACAGGGGAGAAGAGGCAGCCCCTGCGTCTACAGACACCCCACATACAAATCCAGCTGTGAACGCAGCCTTCACTCAGTCTGGCATTAGTCTTACATAGAGCTAAAATCTGCTACTTAACAGCTTTTGGAAGGCAGAAAGTAGACTTTTGGGACACAAAAGCTTGACGGAATTGTCTGTGTTCGTATAGGGGAGGAAAGAAGAAAAACGGCTCGTTTCCATATGGTGACAGTGCCACACCTCGTGAAAAGGGCTCTCCCGTCTGACAGTGCTTGCAGCCCTGCTGGGACACCCTGGCCCCACTGCATGCTCAGAGACCCCACGAGGCACTGCATCTGCCTGAGTCTGGGTGGCAGGCAGACTGAGCGGGAGTAAGGCCTGCGCACCACGGCGCTTCCCACGTGGGTCTTTTTCCATTTGACTCTGTCTCCTCCAAGCTCCCAGAGGATGTCCCTGCATTGAAATGGAGCATGAAGATGCCCACCCTGGTCCGGGGTCAGACTAACAATTCATGAATGGGTCAGATCTCTTAGGGATGAAGCAAACACACAGAGAATAAATTGAAACAACATAAAGAACAACTGAGACCAATTATTTTGTGGCCTTGGGATTGGGACATGGTCCCTGAAGTTGTTTTCCTCTTTCTGGGGTAAGAAGGGCTGGGCTGCATGGGCTGGTCTCCAGGTGGGACTTGATGGCACTGGCCCTCCTTTACCACAGCCTTGGCACTTGATCTGGAGATAAAGCTTTCAACTGTGGCCTTTGCTTCTTACCCTGTCACCTGGGGCCAGTAACCCAGAATCCCCATGGAGCTAAGAACAGATGTACAAAAGGAGCTACAGAACATCCGGGACCTACAGCACGAGGAGGAGGCTTCTTCTTTCTCCGCAGATGTTTGATGTCAGGGTAGAAGGCTTTACATGTGATAGTCCCTGGTCGGCCCCAGCATTCTTTGTAATATTTCTGTGAAATTATTATTTTTGTATATATTTTGCCTGCAGAACTTACTACTTAAGCATATTTAGACAGAAAAAGACATCCAGAGCTGAGTGGGAGAAGAGGACTGGGCCTGAAGCGTGCTCTGCCTCACTTCTTTCAGTTTCTTTTATAGCTCCATCTTTGTAATCCTACCCACGGACCAGGATAGGAAACGTCCTCTCCCATCCATCTTTCAGTTCAAGCTGATGTCAGCATTTTTTTTTTTTGTTTGTTTTTTTGTTTTTTTTTTTGAGGGGTTGATGGTGTGTGTGTGTGTGTGTGTGTGTGTGTGTGTGTGTGTGTGTGTGAGAAAAGGTCCAGACACTGGGGCTGCTGGTGAGGGGATGAGCTGCACTCCTTTTCTCCCTGCCCCTGAAGTAGGGAGGGGGGCACTTGATGTCACATGAGCTGATACATTGGTGCGCTCTCTCTCTCTCTCTCTCTCTCTCTCTCTCTCTCTCTCTCTCTCTCTCTCTCTCTCATCCTGACCTGGAAGGGACTTAAGGAAAGCACTACCATCTAGTGCCCAGCCCTCTAGACAGCGTTGCAGAGGGAAAGAAGGGTGGGCATGCAAGGACCACTGCCAAGGCCACCCCAACCCCTGGCGGAGCAGCTTCCTGCTCGTTGGTCCTGCCGTTGAAGGGCTCCTGAGGAGAAGGAAGTCTGAGGGTCTCACCCTGGTCACAAGGGGAGGTGGGTGCTGACTTGGATCGGTCATCCTCAGATGGGGAGCTTCCAGAAGCAGGCTGGGGGGACTCGGCACCAGCAACGAGCTAGAGAAGAGGCAGGAAAAGGAGAGTGGCATCAGAAATGAGGGTTGTGCGTTTCCCTGGGGCCAAGGGCAGGAGGGTCCCTGCACGGAGAGCTGTGCAGGATGCTGTGTGTGCCCCTCGCTGGCTGGACGCATGAGAGCAGGTTGAAGGGTTCACCCACCAATGAGAGGGAAGAAAATGAGACAGGTTTGTTCCATTCCCATTCTCTCCAAATACAACTGACCTTTCCATGCAAAGCGTGTCTAACCCCTTCAGGGCAAGCCTCCCTCTGCTCCCCCAGGCAGGCAGATCTCTCACGCAAAGCAACCTGAGGCCAGCCTCCTCTCTACCTCTTTGACACTTACGGCCTTATTCAGCATCTGTGTGTATATGCTGGTGGGGTTCTCTACTCAGGCTGACCACAGTCTCGGAAGGTGAGACCATCCGGCACTGCGCAGTCCCTCGTGATGCGCACACAGTGATATTCCTAATAGGCACTTGACAAATATTTCCTGATGCACTGATATGTGTTGGCAGCTTTGGATGGAAGCTTCCTTTGGACAAAAGTTTCCTGGCTAAGTGAGGACGCATCCACTTCAAGTTACCCTTCAGGGAGCACCTGACCCACAGTGTACATTCACCCTTTCTCAGACAGGGACAGAAGCAAAGCTCCAGCAGGTCTGACACTCCTGCCAGGACCTTCTGACAAGGGGACGTTGCTCCTGTCCTCCGCACCAACTCAAGCTGCCATCTGACTTTTTTCCAACTTTTACATCCAAAGCATCAAAGCAGTAAGACCACCAGGACCGCGATCCCTTAGCTCTTCCTCTTGTCCCTTCCTCGGTTTCTCCACCTTGGCTTCTTCCCACCAGCTTCCCACGGATGCACATCCAGCAGAGGATGGCTTTGCCAGCGCTGAGCCCAAGCAAAGGTAGGAAAGAAGAGAGGCACTCAGTTTTCTTAAATGTTCCACGACAATGAAGGAGTCCATCTATGTTACTTCAACAGGGAGAAAATCTGCCCTTGAGAAGGGCTCTCTCTAGACCTCATATTGTGTCCGTCTAACTTGGTCACCACAGAGCACCTAACCTACTGCTTCAGGAGGCCCCGGTGATTTGGGTACTGGGGTCTGCTTATGGTTCCAGTGCCACAGGCCAGCAGCTGAAGCAGGAGTTCTGCTGGGAGATTTCAGAACTGAGAGGAGACGCCCGACATTCAGGGTGTACGGGCCAGGAAGGGAGGATGCAGGCAGCCCAACTTTCCCATCAAGTGAAAGAGCTCTTCCGGCAACACCAGGGAGAAGACACAAGCAGGTTCTGAAATAAGGAGCCGAGGACATGTAGCGCAGAATTCAGGGAGCCAAGACCACAAGGACCCCTAGCGTCAGATCTGGCTTTGTAGTGCAGCACTTGGAAATGCCTGCTCCTGGGTAGCGAGTACCTGCACACATGAGGACAGCCCACCTGGGCCACAGGGCTCTGGCTGTCGCACACATACATTTTAGAGCCCCTTCCTGTGTGTGCACACACATGCATACGGTGTGTGTGTGTGTGTGTGTGTGTGTGTGTGTGTGTGTTACCAGAGCTAAACTCAGATCCCTGACTTCATTTATTATTTTGTTTTATTTTGAGACAGGATCTCATTGAAGTGTCCAGGCTGACCTCAAACGTGGACTCTTCCTGCCTCAGCCTCCTGCACTGCTGAGAAGACGAGTATGTCCCCCACTGCCAACTTGCTCTTTCAATCCTAGGAGTCAGGTGAAAGAAGAGCCTGGTATAGAGCCTTTAGCTCTATTTTATCTGGGGGCCCTGACTTATCAAACAACACTTGGGCAAACAGCTCTCCTGTGATGTTAGAATAGCACATGGGTAAGACAGGGCTTTGGCCTCTAAAGCGAGGCCCTGATGTACCAAGCAGAGGCTCTCCACAGTATTCCCCAGGCAGCTCAGCACCAGCGGCAGCACAAATCCTGGCCTCTCCTAGGGCAGAAGGTGGCCCCGGCTTGTGTCCATCTAGCCTTGTGACACCATCACCCAAGGGACTCTCAGGCCAGTGACATAGCGGGGGGCAGGCAGGTGTACTGCTCTGTCGCCAGTGTTACATGGCACCTAGATGGAGTCCTACGGGCTTTATCTCAAGCCTTCTGTTTCTCTGGCAAATGTTAACTCAGAAATGTCCTTTTACTGTTGCCCCCTTTTCAGCAGCTGTAGAAGATGTTTCATCTTATTTGCTTGGCCTTCTCCTCTTTCCGTTCCTTTCTACCTCTTTTCTTTTCCTTTATCTCTCTTTATTTCCTTCCTTCCTCCCTCCCTCCCTTCCTTCCTTCCTTCGATCAAATCCAGAAAGCACTTGAGCTACAGCCCTAACCTTTCAGCAGTATTTTGTTTTGCCACAGGGTATTAAACACTTATGATCCTCTTGCTTCAGCCTTCTGGTTATAGGTATACACCAGCGTGCCTGGCTTTTCTTCTCCCAGCCACATGCTGCTTTGGGCCAAACGGCTCAAAGCCAGGGAAACCCAGGGCTCTAACAGTCTCAGTCCAGAGCGCTCAGGAAGCCAGCACAGGGACCCGGCCCACGACAGGTCCAGAAGCGCCACCAAAGAGCCGATTACCTTTTTCCTCCTCTGGCCACTGTTGGTGATTTTGTCCGGAGTGACTCCCAGGTCGGCCAGCACCTTGGCGATCCCTCTGGCGTCCACCCCACAGTTGGGCGCCACGTTGGTCTCACACCGACGGTGAACATTCATTTTGCAGACTGTAAAGAAACACGATCAGATGTTCACGGTCTAACATGTCACTTTGCTTTTAAAACTGCGAAATACATGATACATTTTGGAAAAATGCAAAAAAAAAAAAGTATAAAACCGAAAGCCGCCTTTCATTCCATCCCACAGAACTAAACGCACCCATCAAACCACCTTGTAGAGAAAACCAGGGTTTACCTCTTTCTCTCCAGGCACTCTGAATATATGAAAGAAGGATGAGCACATGAACCTCACGTTTAAGATTCCTCTTGGGGGCAAATACCAACTCAAGAAGAACTTAACTGATTTCTCTGGAAAAAAATTGAGTTAAAGTCTGGATCTAAGCAGGTCCCATGGAGCCAGCCTGCTGGCCCTCACTGCGAGTCACACGTGCAGTGCGCTCCTCAGGAATGGTACGAGGAGCAGCCCCGTACTCTCCCAGAGGGCGGGGGAGACTAACTGTTCTGAAACAGGCTAACGCGTTCTGTGCTGCTTCTTACAGCCTGCCCCAAGGAGAAGGCATGTCGGCCAAGCCTCAGCTGCTGGGTCTTACCAGCTCCTCAGGGACCCAGGGGAAAGGAAACGCCCAACTGCAGAGCAGCCAGCCCTCCTGCTCCTCCTGCGGCCAGGGGATGGCCAGGCGGCCCTGTGAAGGTCACAGCCTCAGACAGGACTGCAGAGCACGCTACTGCTGGACGTGACCCCCATTCTTTGACCCGGTGCATCATGTCCAGCTACTAAGATAAAGCCGCGAGGGACAGGAAAAGGAGAAACATAGTTGAAAAAGACAGAACGTCAGAGCTAGGCGCAGAGACGGCAGGGATGTTGAAATGATCAAACGGGGAATTTAAAACTGGGATTAATCTGCTTGACAAGGCCCCACTGTTAAAGATTTCTACCACTTCTAATAGCACAAACTGAAGACCTCCTCACACATGGGCCCAGGGACAGGCTTGAAGAGCCACAGCACAGCATGTGGTGTCACGCTGCATTATATGCAAGTACTCTTACTTACGTCATAATAATGGCCCCAAAGTATAAAAGTAGTGATACTGGCAATTTTATTCGAGTATACTGTTGTGACTGTTCTATTTGATTATTAGTTATTACTGTTAATCTCCTACTGTGCCTAACTTATAAATTAAACTTTATGACAGGTGTATTTACAGATATGAGAAAGCACAGCATATGTAGAGTTTGGTACTGAGAACCTTCTACAGGGCATCTTGAATATCTCCCATGAGGACATGAGGGGCATTCTGCTGCATATTAATTCCAGACAAAGAAAATTTCAACCAAGAAAAGTAAAAAAAAAAGAAAGAAAGAAAGAAAATTTCAGAGCAAGGGAGCTCATCAGATTTGATGAGAGGCAGTACATAGTGATAAATGGGTCGATTCTCAAGACGGCATTACCCTTAGTGCATACGTATCTAATAGGAGAAGGTTAAGCTGTACTAAGAAAAAATTGGAAAGCACTGATGATTGATTCCTCTTAAAGTTGGAGACTTCAATATGCCTCGAGGTGAGAGAAAGTCAGCAGGTGGAACTTGAACTCGTGTCATGGTGACCCTAGTCCGCAGGACATAATTCCATCTCCTGATTGTTCCACCAACATCAGCAGAGCACGCGTGCTGTCCCAGGTCACGTGGAGGAGCTACCAGATGCACCACACTTCAAACCCTAAAATGCACGTGCAATTTAAGAGAGTAGGAAGATGTGATACTATGGCCTGGCCTGTGCTGTAGCAGGGGACACAGCAACGCTGGTGACACCAGGGTCCCAGCACGGCAGCTTGGGGGCGGTGCTTGGGGGCAGCTGTCCCCCCAGCAGGAGTGGCCCGGAGCCACGCCCACCCCTAAGCTCCAGCTCCTGGGGCTGCTCTGCACCAGGGCTGCACACTACACTGCTCCAACGACCCGGGAATCTGCAAAGGGCAAAGCTATGGAAACGTGAACGGATCGATGGTTAGTTAGCATGGGCTCGGAGGAAGGTGGCCAGGCAGAACACAGGAACTTTAGGGCAGTGACACTATTCTGTGTGACTCTATAATGGCAGATGTATGTCATCATACCTTTGTCCAAACTCATGGATGATAAACACCATGAGAAAGCCTAAGGTACCGAAGGACTCTGGGCGCTAAGTGTGGACACTATGACAACATGCGCATGGCGCTGATGGGGGACGCTGAGGCCAACGAGCCAGCCTGTGCACTCTGGGGGGAGTGGACTCTTGTCAGTTTTACTATGCACCTAAAACCATTCTAAAAAACTCTAGTAAAAAAGATTTAAAATCAAACAAAGCCACCTCCGGAATGAAAGCAGACAGGCTGCTTGTCCCAAACACACGGGCCCCTTACCCTGCTTTGAAGGGCTCAGCTAAGCTGCTGAGTGGAAGATGACGAGGACGCGGGGTGGAGAAGGTGCATCCAGCCAGGGCTGTGACTGAGGACTGTACGAGCACGCTGGAGTGATAACACACCGCAGGCTACAGCACTCCAGAGGAATTCTCCACCCGCTCTTAGCAACAGCTGCCCTCTGCGCCTTGCCTGTTCTTCCGACAGTCCTTGGTAGCCTTCACCCACCTCCCACACTCCTGTAATGATACCTTACGTGGGCTGGGCCCGGCGGTTCACACCAGTGATCCCGCCACTCGGGAGGCTGAGGCAGGAGGGATGCCAAGTTAGAGGCCAACCTGGGCTACACAGCGAGTTCAAGTCCAGCCTAAATTACACAGTGACACACAAATAAACAAACACAAAAAGACACCAACCACTCAGGAGGCTGAGGCAGGATGATCAGAAACTCAAGTTTAGCCTGCACAATTTGGTAAGACCCTGCCTCAAACAAGGTCTGGGAGTGTAGTGCACTGGTAGAGTACTTGCCCAGCACAGTAACAACAACAACAACAACAACAACAACAACAACAGAAGAAGAAGAAGGAGGAGGAGGAGGAGGAGGAGGAAGGAGTAGGAAGGAAGAAGGAGGAGGAGGAAGGAGGAGGA